CCCATTCTTCAAATTTTGGTGGCTTGTGGGAAGCGGGAGTAAAGTCAACAAAGTATCACCTGAAAAGAGTAATTCGAGACAGGCATTTAACGTTTGAGGAACTTACAACAGTCCTGGCTCAGATTGAAGCATGTCTCAATTCAAGACCAATTCTGACACTCTCCAATAACCATGAGGATCCTGCGGCTTTGACACCTGGTCACTTTTTAGTTGGTGAACCATTAGTTCTGGTACCGGATGCGAACTATGAAGAGGTTAAAATTGACAGTCTGAAGCGTTGGCATTTAACTCAAAGAATTTTACAAGATTTTTGGCGTAGATGGTCAGATCTTCACCATTTACAACAAAGATTTAAATGGTGCCAACAAACACCGGAGCCAGAAGTTGGTAGCGTTGTCTTGGTGAAAGAAGACGATCTGCCACCTGCAAAGTGGCTTTTTGGTATTGTAGAAAAGAAACATCCTGGTTTAGATAATCTTACAAGAGTAGTCACTCTAAAATATAAAAATAATTACATTAAAAGACCGGTTTCTAAATTGATTGCTCTTCCAACCAAAGAATAAACAGTGAAGCTACTTGTCATTGTGTTTAAAAATTCCTTAGTTTATTAAGTAATACAATAAGTTTAGTTTGTTAAGTATATTAGTTATTATTTCTGTATTCATTATTTTTATGGACTTCGTCCATGGTGGCCGGTATGTATAGTTTATAGTGAATTTAGTTGGAACACAGCCACTAGATGGCGCTGTTTGGTTTTTTATTGTTTTGAATCGCGGTGATAAAGTGTTTGTTGGAAAGTGTAAAACATCAAAATTTATATAATTAAAGCTCTCTGATTTCACAGTAAATTGATATTGTTTTTCTAATAATAAGTATCCCTGGCATTTTTGGGATTTGAACAAAGGCTTATCAAGTAAATAAATTAAATTATATGGCTACCTACCACCAAGAGAACCCCAGGCTTGTCTGTCCTCTTTCATAACAAATCCCTAATAGAAATTCAACAATAATTTTATTTATGATTCTGTATTATAAAAAAAGTTAAATATAAAAAAGTATTGCCTATAGTTTACCCCACATTCAAATAAAAGGCTGTTAGGAGTTTTGAAAGTATATTTTTTATTTGTTTTAACTACTAACATCGGGCCTTTATATTTTGTGTTTTAAACCGTTAAATTTCTCTTATTACTGTTACATATTATATCTGTCACGGTAATTAACGTGTGAGCACTAGAATATATTTCCAACCCTTCCTCACCTCATCTTCTTCTGGTCGAGAAAGACACTCGGCGCGAATCTTGGAGTCCTTAATATAACTCCGGGCAGATCGTAAACAGATCTGTTTATTTTGCTTAGACATGTACGTTAACCGCATGTGATTTCCGAATCACCTTGCAGCTGCCCTGCTCTGATATTTGTAACTGCATATTCATAGATGCATTTGAATTTCCAAATTCGAGTGCTTGTTTGTTTCGAACGGTTAACTATGGTAGGGGAATCCCAGACTTACTCCCGCGAACCAGTTCCTTCAATCTTAATCACAGTGGGGTACCTTTAGTCAGAATGCTCTGAATGGTTTGGTGACGTTATTCTGAACATTTAGTCTGAGTGTTTAGGACGTGGTTGAGGTCCTGGGTTCGAATTCTAGAGTAAAAATATATTGTCAGGGCACATCCGTCTCATTGACTGTAAATAAAATCGATCAAAATGTGATCTCGCTTTTTTTGGATTAGTTAATTGTTTAATAGTTCGATAGCACATCTGATGGAGATGTTAAATGGCTGGGGTAAGTCACCTTCCATTGACGCCATGCTTGTCTGTCCTCAACAATCCGACAAAATGTTCTGTTTATCGGAAGATTAGATTTTTCCCTTGAAGGTTTCATGTCTAATTATCTTCTTGATACCAAGACAACACAAGATCTAATTTAGCTGCATTAATCCCCACAAAATTTTACAATATATATATATATATATCTAAACTCTTTAAAAGTTAATTAAAGCTATGAAATATCACAAACAGCAAACAAACAAATGTAAAAACCAGTATTAGAACTCCCGGCCCCACCCACAAATTCGTGTGCTCACAGCCTCAGTTCGTCGTGTGATCGGAACCTTACCGCTCGGTACGTTCACCTCTAACCTTCGATATAATGCAGCGTTCATCCCGACGAGTCGTATTTAAAAATCACTTCCTGACAAGGTCAACGGCCATCGTCACTCGTACTTAGTACGTCTTAAGCGCAGCGTACGAATTTATTCTAACTAATGTTATGAAGTTTTTTGTTTGAACACGCTAATCTCAGGAACTACTAGTTATAATTTTGTCGTTGGAGCATTTATGGAGGAAGGCTTTGTGTTATAAAACATCACGCTACGACCAATAAGTGGAAAGAAACAGATATATAGAGATCAAGATACCCAACAATAAAAAATGTCCGCGACGGTATATATAATATATCTTTTAAGATTAAATTGCAAGAGCGATGGGATGCGGACGTCGTAGGTAACAGATGTAATTCATAGAGAGGAGGAGGTTTGCAAAAACTAATTTTGATGCCCAAATTAGCGATTCAGAGGCGGCCGACGTCGCGGGCTTAGCTAGCAGAAGATTTTGGTTAATCTAAGAAGACTAACCAAAATCAAAACGATAATATCCATAAAATATAAATACTAGAATTGGAGTAGTTTTAGAGAAACGAGATAACAATCTGTTTAATTATAGAAAGTAGAATTGATTTGCAAAGATCACTGTAATATTTTAAGTAATTTTTTGATAATTAATAACTGAGCATAATTATAATTGCTGTATAGTTGTGTTTTATAATTGACCTACTTCTGCAACTCAGGCACATCCTAACTTACTTCTGTATCTTGATTGTGGTATTTGTAATTATTCGTAGTTTATATAGTAGAAGATGCTTTAATATTTAATCAAATCTTTATTGTAATTAAAAGTAAAATATGAAAATGTATTTATTTTTTCTATAAGCGCAACGTTTTGCCTAATTAATTATTTTCTTGTTATTCTATTTTAATTTTCCTCGTTTATTTTTTATGTCGTTTTCAACACTTCGCAATTTATATTATGTGCGGTCGTTCAATGTTAAATACCTGAAATTAGTCATACCGAAATTACACCTAGCACCTCGCCTTCTGTAAATCAATTTAATTAAGATGATTCAGTTTAAAGTGAAGCCACAAAAAGTGCGGTTCAGTGCAGATACGCGTTTTTGCCAAAAAAACATCTAAGCGTAACGAGTCGATTAGCAGAGGATTTTTTGCGATGAAAAACACACTATTCGTATACATTCGAAATTAATTCGTTCTCGGTAATTTCAATGCAGTCATTATGATTCCAGGAATATGGATTTAATACACCGGTTTCAAAATGGCTTACACATTATTTATTTGTGCCTTAAAACATAAGCGTAAGCGGGTTTTGGTAAGCAGTCACTCGCGACCTAATCGGTGCCATTAATATTAATACTACAGCATGTGTATTAAAAAAATAGTAAAAAGAGAGGACTCTTTTAGGTCAGTAGTGTAAAAGAGAAAATTGAAAACTATGCGCTTACTATACTTATAGTTTTCCAAACTTTTAACCGCTTTAAGATATTAGAAAAAGTTTTCAATTTGAAATTGAGTATCAAATGTACTTTTAAATAAAACACTTTAACGGTTTAAAACGCGATATATATTAGTTAAATTTAATTGAAAAATATTTTTAACTACGGCCCGACGACGTTCTGGGTGCTTTGCAGCAGCCGGGGTCACGCTTTTAGAACGTGATATATATCGTGTTTGTTATTTAGTGTTTTATTTAAATGTGTACTACTCGCGTAAACTATAGACGGTATTTTATTAAATGAACTACATATTTCTTAAATATAACAAGTATTAATAAGTAGTATAAAAAACTCTGATGTAGAAGTAGAAAGAGCACTCTTAGTAGTAACGAGCCGAGTATAAGATAAGGTGACTGGTTCAATGTACTCTCGACTTTTAACAATTTAAATGTACACTAATTGGGGAATAACTATTCATATTTTCTAGAACCAGTAAACCTCGCGATCAGTTTATGTTGGATACCAAACCTTCACTTCAATAGGATTATTGAGCACCGAAGCGACGAAACCTGGTTTACAATTCAAACCATTAACCGACCCTGATAGAGTTGTACCTACATTGGTTAATATTATTTTAATTTAATTAATATTCGCTTTGATCTCATTTAATGCGAGTCAACTATGATTTTTTTACTGGCTTATCACCACTGTTCTCCCGATGACATGATTACGTGAATTTTGACGATTCGTAACAACGTAGGGCTATATTCTATATGGGTCGGGGACGTTTCCCGTCGTGTTCAATATGTTTCTAATGAATTTATATTTTTTATGAAACGTGTTAGACTTTGTCTAGAAATCCGAATAAAAAATGGGTGGTAGAAATTTCGATAATCGTCGTCAGGGTAATGAACCACCGAACACTAATGAAAGAGCCGTTTTAATCGCTTTTCGATTTCAGTCCATCGATTTACAAAGCTTCAAAGCTAAGATACAGCTCTGGGATTTTATATTGCTGAGGTATTTTCTAAAAATTGCGCTTTTAAAAGTGAACCCATGCTCGTTGTTCTCCTCCATTAAAAAAAACTGGGTGGGAGGATAAAGTCTATATATATCGAGTATTTTTATGATTCCTGAATAAATTGAACCTGCTTCTGGAAAGGCATTACAATGTCTCTGTCAATGCTTGCCTGTACCCATCAGTAATGCAAACAAATAGATGAAAATGAATGGTTTAAGAAACCGTATCGGCACAGTCCAATTTTAAAAACCAGTTCTGACATGAAAACGACGATTGCTATTGACATATTCGCGTTCGGGACCTGTAGACTATGTCTCAATCGGTGTATCCATAAATTAATGTCAATTTTTGACAGTGTCAGTTACCAATGGCTGGCACGGCCCGTGACCTTGATTCCAACCCCAATAGACCATGTCACCTTCACCTTGGCAAGGTCAGTGTCACTTGGCGACAAAGCTCGTGTGGCCATGAAATATGCGAATTTACACTAATAATAATTGTCTATATTTTTATTATTTAAGTACTAGAATTTGGAACATTTATGTTAGGTATATTTGGGTTAATCATTATAATTTTCTCTATATTCAAAACACAAATAGTAATCATATTATCTTTTTAAGGGTATAAAAATACTTAGAATTACTTTGTAGACAGAGGTATTATAAGATTACAAATAAAGAGGAATAACTATGTTGAATTGTATGAAACTCGGGCTCCATTCATCGAACTTTTATTTAAAAATCGTAGCAACCAATGTAGTGGCCACACAATTTGCATATTCTCAGAAACATCAAGAGTTTCGTCAGTGCGTTTTTGAGTGAAAACGCGAAATGACAAATTATCCCCGACATTCTCTGAAAACGTTCTTTGATGTTTGTTCAAGAAATCTAATGTTCGAGGAATCCCTTATTTCTCCCTATTTTTTCCCTATTCCGTGATGTGTTTTGGGTTCCGCGGAATTGTAATGAACCGTAAACACTTGAAACCCCAGTGTGAATTGTATTGGGGCTTTTCATTTAGAGTTAATCCTATTTCATAAAACTTTTATCAAACAAAAAGGTTATATAGACTTTTATATAACCTTATAGATTAATTTTGTGTATAATATATTTAGAATAGTATTTAAGACAGAAATTTAATAAAACCATTTCCAAAATCTCCGTATTCCAACATTACCCTGATTCTTTTATTTCTCAGACTACATGAGACCGACCGTACCAGCACCAGAAGCGAACAATGCTTTTAAAAAAAAATCTACAGGAATTCCGTACACAAAGCAAGGCTTGCGCTTAGCCAATCTCTCCCTATTCCACCTGTCAAGGTTCGTATGTTTTTGATCTCTTTATACTTGGCAGGCTTTCTGAAAGACGTTTCCAAAGGATTTTATTGGTTTGATGCCGGCGCAGGCTTACGGGCGCGGAAATTAAATGCTTTATTTTCGAATAAATATTTGCGAATGCTATAACATGGAAATTTCATAGGATTTCACTGTACGAAACAGGTTTGTATGTACATTCGTACTTTGTTAGCTTATCTCAACTGTTTTAGTATGACCGTTACTTGAGTCCAGCGTCTTCCAGCTACCTTGACCGTCATTGGTAGGTGGTCGTCCAGGTTTTCGATGCCCGGTATGTAGACGCAAATCTAAAACCTTTTATCCCACTTCACGAGCGATGTACCCAGCCCGCTGCCACTTTATCCTGCCAAACCGAAGGGCCGTATGACTGACTTTAGTTCTCGTATGAACCTCATTATTTCTTATTCAAAGACGACGACAAGGTTACTCCGAGCATATTTATTAGTTGCTATCTAATAAATCAAGTTGTTTAATTAACATAGTTTCCTTTAAAGAATAAATTCTCTAAAAATCAAAGCTTTGAACTCAATAGTTCGCTGCATCATCTAGGAATATTTATACGAAAATCGACGTGGATAATAATCGGCATGCATAAATAAACAATCGGTTGGTGCAGTCACGAATCGGGTCTAAATATCACGTTTGATACACATTATATCTGACAACGACGTCTAACCGTGCCCTTGGCATTACCGCTCTCTCGGTGTACTTTACACTGTACGATACGACGTGATACGATTTTATCATTAATCTGCATATATACTTATCGCATCAAAACATGAATAATCATTTATTCAGAACTTAAAGATTACTAGTAGCTAATACTAATTCTGTGATATTTTTTTATTTCATTTTTATATATTTATCACAATTTTATTTCATATTTTATACACATTAGCATTAATTATACTTATTTTAATTATGCTTCTTCTCGTACGTTAATAGTGAGCTGTAAAGTTTTTAGCAATATCGTGTCGGATGTTATAAAATCGTTGTCTGGAAAACTATTATTTTATATCATAATTATATACTGGCTGTTCGCCATAATTGTTACAATATGTTAAGCATGACTGGTTCTGATTTCAGATACTAAATTAATTTCTGAGTAAATTTATAAACAACAATATTTGCTAGATTGTAAGACGGAAAAGGAAGTTGAGAAAGTGAAGACGTTTGGAGTTTGAAGAATTGCTTAAGGATTTTATGACGGGCAACTATTTTCTAACACACAGGTAAGGTCTTGCCCTCCAGATCGGTTTAGCATACATAGAGAGATCAGAAATTGCGTAACGACAGCCTGGGAATGGAACCCACCCTATATTGATATAATATATTACTTATAACATATTCAATATACTATATCATATGCCGTTGGTATGGTATGATAGAAATGTACGGCTTACAATTAACGATTCGAGATTTTGATAGTAGGTCCAATATCTTTTAAAGTCAATTTAAAATATTAAGTATTGTTTTGTAGTTTAAGTGAGTTGTGCTGTGCTGTTGTGTAGCCCTAATAAACACTCCTTAACTGTTTAAAACGCGAAATGAATTACTTAACCTATTTACTATTTATTTTAACTATGGTCAGACATTTAGAATGCTTTGCCGCAATCGTGGTCACGGGAGGACATATTTGAACACACACATGGTAGGAATATTGAAATTTCGTTCGACTCACGAACAACTATCCTCAACCATTTGATAAGCCACGAAGCGTAAAGGCACATGACATGTGACTGGTATATTTGTCTGTTTTAAAAAACTCTTTTTAGTTTTGTTTTGGTTCCAGTACTAATTCAACGTGCATTATCGTAGAATTAAAACACTGGATAGCTCATAACGTGCATATCTATGCATGCCTCTTCCATTTCCGTGTGTTTATCGCGAAGGTTACCCGTATAATATAACATTTCATACCGCTATCAGTGGCATTGAAAATTATTTGCAAATTATGCGGACGAGTTGTACTACTGTGCGCTCTTCCTCACTGTGGAAAATTACTATCCTTTGATAGGATGTGCACTTAAAAATCCTTCACAAGTTACTTATATACATATTTACAATATAATTCACGTCCACCTCGTTAGTCTGGGGGTAAGTGGAGTCGATTATAGAAACCGAGGTTACAAAACCTGGGCTGGTCAAAATCTATGTTTTTGTTACAACATATAGCATATATATATATATATATATATATATATATATAATACGCAATAATATACTCGCTGTCGACCTATTTTCGCTTTCGATACACGGAAAGGACAGTATTAATTAGAGATCTGGACTAATTATTATACAGAATTTCATGTTTCAGCGAAAAATTAAATTGATTAGAAATATGTTGCCGGTGGCCCGGTGCCATACAATTAGACCATTATTTATTTATATTTTTAATGTGCCGACCTTCACTGAACTAACGTGGTAGATCTCTTAAGCCCTCTCTCAGATCAACGGCCAGTGAGTTCGAGTCGCTGGGTCATCGATTTTATTTTAAATATTATTTCAGTTGAGTTACTTTTCACTTCCATTGAACAAGCGGACATTCCCGCGACTAAGCGAAGATGAGGAACGCGCAAAATCTAATATCATCCACTTGTAATGGTGAAACGTCGAAAACAATATCTTCATTACGACGGCCGAACAGGTCGAGAACCCCAGAAACTTAACAGCAATTTACGATGTACTTATATATTTTATCCTATTTAATAAAAAAGGGACATTTAAAAACATAATTCAATAACCCGAAAAGCTCTTTAATCTGTCAGGTGTAGGCTCTCGTGATATTTCGAACCCGAAGATTTCTTTATGACATGACTCAATAAACCAATTTACAACCTTCACGTCTTATGTCCTTTATTTTGTACATCCTTATCGAGAGTCTCGTTAAGCGTGTATCAAACTGTGCGAAATAAGTCGACAACTACCGAAAGACGAAAGAATACAAACTCATAACACTTTCAGACGCTAACTTTAGTTTACTAGTCTTAACTAATCTTAGAGTTTATATTATATAGAATTTATATTATATTCTACATGTTTTTTTAAGCTTATTTTTTGGATCGGTGTGTAGAAAAGTTTCTCACGATGTTTGCCAAGACACTTTATTTATGATACATATAGTGTATGTGATGTTTTCCGTCTAACAGTGCCCTAAGACATAACAGTTAACAGAAACAAAATCCTAAATTATCAATTGCAAGCCTTTCGTACCTAACGGTAAAATTATTCCCCACGATTTTGAGTCGTATTCCCCAGCGTCACGGCACATCGGTTTTATTAATTTTTAATTAATTCTTAGTCACCGAGCGATGAGTCAAGTTTAATTATATGAGTTGATTTTGCCAAGAAGATAATGTTTCCGTCGAGAATTATTGGTTTTTAAAAGGTTTTCTGGGTTGCGTTAAAGTGCCGAAATGGTTTTACAAGATACTTGCAGGTTTACTTCCAGCGATTTTGGTACCAATTTAATCTTTCGTAATATATACATATGACATATTTCTCTGATAATTTAAGTTGACGTAAGTATGTCAAAAATCACACACTAAAGACATACTTCACATTCAAATTTTACTCCAGCTTATGACTAAAGTCTAATAAATATTTTTTGTAAATTGCGTTGCATACATTTTTTTGAAATCTTGATTCATTTGAAATCTATTTTATTACAATAAAACGGACCTAACAAAAACAACCACAGTTTTCATCTCGGTAGCATTCAAATAATAAAGACAAATTCTAAATACAATACAATTCCAAAGCTGTGTCTACAAGTCTCAACGTGTTTAAATTACAAATCGCAGATAGTACAACTTACAACTTATTAATATACATTGCGTATTTTGATAGTGATCGACTTTAAACTCAACAGAAATAGCGGCATTGTATGTTGTCCTTCAAACTAGTCGAACAACCGATATGAGTAATTGAGTTGAGTTTTTATATCGGACGTCTTATCGAGGAGTTGTTATAAGGCCTATATTTTATTATTTTACTGCGTCGTTATGAGGATCACTAATCAGACTCAGTAAGTAAACAAGATAAATGCCAATAAGTGTGAAGGTAAATGTGTTATCGACTTATCATTAGTGAATGTGGTTTTAAATTACCATCGCTCTCAAGAGTAAAGTTTCAAAAGGTTGTTTATAAGACAGAGGAGGACAGACAAACATATGGGTTGATACAAGCTAAAACACTTCAGTCATTACTTCTAACATATATATATATTATTTTTATTACTAAACGATTACAGAATCGATCTACCTCGAGAGATAGAAATAAAGTTATGGCTTAACTGGGTGGATCCAAAGATAAAAAAAAGTTAGCAAAACGTGTAAACAAATATTCAAATGGTGGACCATTATCGTCAGTGGGTAATGATAAGGGGCCATAAAAATAGACCGTTCATGTAAACCTTGGATCTGCTAAAAATGAGTCAGTCGTTCGATTGTGGAAAATTATTAAGATAATAAGTGGATACGTATATTTTGGTCACGAACCAATTGACAATGATCGGTGCTGCGCGCCCGTAGTGATGTGTAGCGAAATTGTCGATAAATCCAGTATATTATGTAATAAAAAAATTCCATTCGAAATGTGTTGCACCTATTCTAAAAAAAGAAATGATATAATAATTCACGTTAAGGAAATCAATAAATGATATAAGTAAAACGCTTTCACTAAAAACGGTTTTAAACTTGAGACATAGTAGTTAACATATTTTTAATTAATATTAACGGCCCGACGTTTCTGCAGACAACACGTATATAAACTATATCAATCACTACGTATTGATACTAGGTATGATTTAAGATGGTATTATAGATAAAACTGTTTCTTAAAAGACAATACTGTTAAGCTATTTTCTCGTAATAAAATAACGATATAACATATAACACAAACAATTGTGAGTCAGTAATAACTTCTGTAATCTGTATGACGGACACTACAAGTACGTCGTACCGTGTTTCAAAACGCAAAGTACCGTAATAAAGTTGCATTACAAATTACAATATACAGTAATATTACACTAATACAAATGATTATCGATAATATCTAACGCCAGTCGCAGCACTAACCTCGCCTAACCTTTACTTGACTGTATTTTGCTTTTGCAAGTTTAATCATGGCGTTGTCTGTTCGTGACGCAACATTTCGCAACTTTAATCATTATTTTATCTTACAAATTGTATTCTTGTCGGATTGTCGACTGTCGATACACTGTCTCGATAATTTATGGCAACACTGCTATGTATTAATTATCGTATTAGACTAGATCTTATTTATTATAGTTTTTGCAGAACCGTTTCGGGGTCTCTAATAATAATACAGATTAGAATTGGAAGGCTAGACTTTGAACAACGCTTCGTAATCATAACGTAGCACTAATTGAATGTGGTAACCTTTTTTTGAATAGTTTTGCATATCAACTATTGCAGCAATTAAATAATGAGATATTACTCCTTAATATAACACTAGTTATTTTAAACCTAATAAGTAGAAACGTCTATCTTTTACGCGAGTACTACACATTGAAATAAAAAACTTTTAACGGTTTAAAACACGAAATATATGAGATAACGTATTTAAATTTTACTTTACAACAGCTAGATGTTTACCTTTTAAACCGTAAAGGTGTTTTAATTAACAGTAGAAACGTTAGAAAATTTTTATTTAACGAGAAAAAATACTTAGATCCATATATAAATTATATGGTAGAAATATTGAAATTTAAACCAACCACCAATCTACGTTACAGCTTCATATTTGAGAATTTCCAAAATAAATCGTCTGAATATGTTTTTTATAATATGACCGGGGTATTTCACTTTAAGACTTTACCTACTCTGTCATAAAAACAAGTAAGGATAAGCTTTATTTAGTTATATTTGAAGCACTTTTTGCATTTGCATCGGACCAATGGTGTATCTTCCTCTAGAGAGACATCGAGATACTCAAAGAGCCAACATTGTCTAATTCGAAATGATAAATCAAGAAAGTTTTCTAATAAATTTTTAAAACATTATCCGCACGCTCCACAGGGGATATTGGTACGATAAATCTTCGCGAATGTTTTTCTACGGAACCAACAAAACCTTGCCGGTCTCTCCTATTTGTGTCTGGCTTGCACTATTATCGCGAGAATGACCGTACCCGTAGATTCTTATCGGGCTTGCGAGTTATACCAAACATATATACATGTAGGCACAGAATAACGTCGATCGAAGGACCTAAAATTGGCAGGTGTGTTATTTTTAAGATGACGTCATAATATTTTTAATCTTCTTTCAAAATATCATAAAATGGAGGAAAAAGTTAGCATGGGATGACGAAAATTTTAGTCACATCACAATAACATTCTTTCACATAATAGATATATTATAATAATTCCAATTTTAATACAGTCTAAGAACAAACCATGGGGAAAAAACAGGGATCAAAAACGAATTACATTCAATTAATCGATGTTTATTGTACAAATACAAGTTCAAAACTATGTAGATTCAATTATGAAATAAGTTAAGTAAATAGAACAACATACCCTTTGAAACCCTATCTGGGTTTTGTTCAAAGTCCAAATTTTTTACTTGTCCAAAATGAAACTGTTTATTTAGTTTAACCGAATTAATGTATATTGTTTCAATCTCTTTAACTCTCAAGTAGGATAAAGTGAGATGTACAGTAGCTAGAGCTTGTAAGGACTGACACCATGTCTTTTTCTAGAAATTTCTTCCCAAGTACTAAATTAAGGTTTCATTCGACCCAAAAGTCCTAAGAAGCATCTTTGAATACACGTTTAATGCCTAGGCTAAGACTCGACTCAATTATTTAAAAAAAAATCGTTTCGTTACACTTGCATAAACTATGTTTCACAATTGACAGAAGTGGCATTCTCCGGTTTTGGAGGTCTTATAGGTCGCTATAGGTATCGGAGTAAGTAACGAAAATCGACGATGCGAATGTTTCATACAGCTACTAGTCTCATATCGGACTTCCAAAGTTTAGATTAGATTATGACAATACGAGGCGACAGGTTATTGAACTTAATAATTGGTAATATTCGTATTGTGGCGTTCAGGCGATACTTGCTCCGGACAAGTTTGCTTCACTTAGCCCGGGGGATATTCCCGGAATATCGATATTGGCGATTATTCATTTATCATTGGCCTAGTATTCTTCATTGGTGGCCAGTATGCTTCATTTAAAACACTTTTAACGGTTTAAAACACAAAGAATATTAGTTAACATTTATGTGTTGTATATTTTATATAGATATCGGTTCTGTATCTATATTTTACTATTTCTATAGTATATGTTTTCTTTAAAAGTTTAAGGCTTCTCGCTTAGTCACTGAAAATGAATGATGTGCTTTTATTAAAGGATAGCAAATGCCGTGCTTTTTTGTTTAATTTCTGACTGTGTAGTACCTACAATAAATTAAATTTATTTATTTTAATTTGAAATTTATTAACGAACCGACGTTTCGTAACGTTATTATTACTAACGCTTGATGTAGTATGCAAATGCGATATAATTTGGCTTCAAACATGCAGATATCTAAGCATGAAACTGAAGCTTTTTCATTTATTATTCCGCCACTCTTACTAACCATTTCATGTCCAGATTTTCTAGACTAAGTCGAAAGAAAATAAATCGATTTTAGCCCTATGTTGAATCTCTTAGGAATCGAACCCGTTAATTGCTGGCCCGTCAACGTGACTGAACACTGGCGATTAGAATAATAAAAAACGTAGCGCGATAATTAGCACTCGCTCCAAACGCTAAATAAAGTATTCATCAAACGAACGCTTATCGTAAATAACGAACTGTGATAAATTGCATCAGCTAAGACATATTTCTGCGTTTAGTTTTATTGCCCGCTAGCTGAGTTTATAGCTCTGACTCCAGGGTCGAATCTGTAACAGAGTTATTCAACTGAACTGTTTCAAACATGCACGATTCTATATAGTAATATTATATTTGCAAATAATATTTTTTGTTGGTTGGATTATTTATCGGGTAAGGCTTTAAACATCAGGCTGCAAAGGTGCGAAAAAGGTTTTCCGTTGCGTGCCCTGCGAAAATGGTTAAAGATACCCAAAAAAATTAAAGGTACATTCTTCTTTAAATGATCTAAAAAAGTGTCCGCGATAGTATGTCTTTATTTTAAGATTTTTTCGTAAGAGTGACACGAAAAGACGCAAACTAAAGCCCAGGAGGTTGTTTACAAAAATAAATACGATGCCCAATATTACTATTCTACGTAGATGAAGTCGCGGGCGCAGCTAATAATTGGAAGATACACTCGGCTTTTGAATCATCACCTAAGATTATTGCGCCGGATTTTGATATACCAAACTGCCTCGTTGGTCTAGCAATTAGGACACTCGGGATACCACGAATTCCAATCCTATGTCATTTAAATATGACGTATAAATATAATATGTAATATTCTAATAAATTTTCTAGAAAACCAGCTGGAAGATTGGAATCAGTGGGCGTCATCAGCCCCATATCTCGAAGAGCATTTCATCTACTTGAACTGGAGCAATCTGGTGGGTCTAATCCCTTGTAGCTTTAGTACAAAGAAATTAGCGAGAAACAAGAGGTTCTGTAAGAAATTTACTACTAAAACTTGTTCGTCTGTCTGTCGGTCACTAGAAATTAGCACTGTGTAAAATTAACAACTTAAAAGGTAACAAGACGAATAAAATCGTCGTACCTACGGTTGTTTGTCTAGTCAATGGCACGGAACCGTAATGCGCGTGCGTCGAAACTCGTATTTTGTTTTATTACATTTATTATTTCGCTAAATTTAAAAAAATATATATCCTCTTAGTCCATCTCTGTGCCTGATTAAAAATGGTATTATTTTACAAGTGCAATAGTTGTGTTTCCACAATAACTCCTATCCGCTTCTTATCGTATATCTCAATAAAAATTATTGAACGTCGGTTCAATAACCCGCCGAGCTGATGACCGCGAGGAAAACTGTAATTTGCATTAAAAATAAGATAATTATTATGATTTGTGATAACACATTTTAAACCTTTGGGTACGCTTAAATTTACATCTACCCAGGATGTATTAAAGCAATTCAGTTATTTCCATTTTCATTCCACTTATACTAATATAATGTAAGTACTGCTAACGGCTGAACTTGCGAAATATATTATCTTATTACTGCGCGTGGGCTGAAGATGTTCCTAATGTCAAGTCTAAAAAATAAATATAACAAAATAAATTAGTTAATTAAAACACTTTAACGGTTTAAAACGCGATATGTTAGTTAAACTTATTTGAAAATGATTTTTAACTTCGGCCCGACGTTTCGCGTTATAAACCGTTAAAGTGTTTTATTTAAATGTGTACTACTCGCGTAAACTATAGACAGTATTTAAAATACATTAGTGTGAATTAAAAATAAGTGTAAGCATAATGTACAATCAGAAAAAACCTTGTGTTGTTTTTTTTAAACATTTGCTTTTGCGAAAGAAAGATTGCTTAGACAGAGCATTCAAGTAAATTAATTACAAAGACAAGTTTGTTACAGATTACTTGTGCTTTACACTAAATATACTGTTATGACTACATGAGAGATACAAGTTTGTTTTTAACGCAGATATTAATATCTTAGTCTTATAAGGTGATGAAAAAGTATGAAACAAATAGAGATTGAGATATTTACGACGTAGAGGTTCGTCGACATCAGTAATATGTTATGCCCTTGCGCAATTAAGTCATGAATGAAATATCTTTCGACATTGGTTATCTATGTATAGATTAGTTACATTTTTTCTATGGTGTCACTTTTTGTTTTTTTTTTTATGTCGAATATCATATGCTTATTAATTAACTCAATGGAGCAAAACAGTTGTAACCGATTAAAACGTGAAATGTAGTTAATAATCAGTTAGTCAATTTATTCAGCGTTTTAAACCGTTAAAGTTTTATTTCGTTATGTACTAATTGCGCAATTTATAGATACTTATCGTGCATTTCAGCCCCTAACAAGTGATATATGTGGGTATAGTATATGTATTAGACTCAGATCAATCTAATTAAACGGACACTAAAAGTGTTTGCTCCATGCCCCAGGGGGAAACTGGATTAAAATTAAAACATATTTTGCGTTTTAAGACATTAGATTTGTAATTGTCAGAAAAAAGGTTTTATTAATATTGAATCCGTTAAAAATACTGTTCTTTATTTATGCGAGTAGTATAAAATTTAAATAGAACACTTTAACGGTTTAAAACGTGAAATGTATTAGTAAAACTTATTTACAAATTGTTTAGACTCTAACCTGACATGTCGTGCTGTAAATATGGCTGCTGCAAAGCATTGTAAGTAAACTAATGTATATGGAAACATAATAAATATATTTTTCAATCATTATAAATGAATATTTTCTGCGTTTTAAACCATTACAAATGTTTTATTTAAATCGTCCGCGATTATAAACGCTCGCTTTATTAAGTAGTACTCTACTAAAAGTCGAGTGAAACAGCGTACTCTCGTAACACATGGTATCGTTTTAGGTAAGGCTAGCAGATAGTGCGGTTCATCGACACTTGTCGTGACCTGCTCAGCCCAGGGTAGGGCCAGCCTCCGGCCGCATTTTGTTTTCTTTGCGATCAATCCTTTTTGCTTTAATTCGTTATACGGCTACGAGTTTTTACTTGCGAGCCATAGGATTGATGTTGGCTCCCACTAGGGTTGGCAGCTCCAAGATTTTGTAGGCAGGTTTAAGCTAACGAAAATAAGTCGACGGCACATCTAGTAAGATGTTATATGACTGGGGTATTTCACTTCCATTAAGTGAACGACACACTTTTGTATTTTACCACAAAAAAGGCTCTGAATTGTTACTTATAATTTTTTTCTTCGTTTATTGTCGAAGCAACGCGTCGACCATAAACGACATAAAAACCAAAGATGACTTAATGAAGTAATGATATTTTTTGACGTACGTTTTACCAATATATTGTACGAACTCATTTTTCACAACTAAAGAGTCAAATGAAAATTGTTACAGCATAGATCATCAACAAGATTTTTAAAAGGTTTAGGGTGTTTTTTAATTACGAAGTTCCAAACCGGTAAGGAGTTGACAACCCTATGTTGCATCAATCCTTAATTGTAAAATTTATTGAATTTAGAATTACACAATTTACAATACCCTTTTGATTCTCGTGTAGTCAATGTCAGAAATAAATACTGTTAAAGATGTAATAGCTTAAAAAACCGTTTGTTTTTTTATAAATAAAGAGTTACTTCTATATTGTCTATAACCAACGCTAGTAACCATTGATTAAAACTCTTCTGACGCCCTAAAATACGAAATATAATATTTATATGTCACGAGAATAAACTTATAGAAAAACATCGAATATAGCGAGAACTATATCCTACATTTTACATTAATAAAATCTTGGATTTTTAAATTGTTGGTTACGGGGATCCATTATTAAACGCTGTCTGGTCCAGCTGGAAGACGTAAGATGTTAGATCAAGTAAGTCAATATAACGTATATTGTTATAACTGTTAATTGTTATCACTAAACCATCATCATCTTCCCCATCAAATAGTATTTTATTAAGTTTAAAATCTATTTCGAGCTTAAAAATATTGACACAGACATGTCTCAAATCCGAAGCTACAGTGCTGTTGCGCCAACTCGTTATTTATTATTTGAATAATATCACGAACACCGTTTAAGCACTTAAGTTAAAATGAAAATCGCTAATAGCTTACTGTTTGCGCGGTTGAATATTCCGCAGTGAAACTGAATCGTGCTCTAGCTGTGTTAGCGATAATTATCGATATTTTTATTCCGTTATCACATGTTTGCTCACGCCCTCACGTGGGCAAACTAATTAAGGACGCAAACTCATATTTTACAAGTAAACAAAAAACAGGTATGCAATTTGCATCGAAGGACATCGAACTCCGGTCCTTGCACTTTAGACGTTCGTGTTACGCTTTTAATTCCTGTGTGACTACCTCTTACTCTACGGCGTCATAAAAAATGGACCAATAAAAACTGCAATATTATTTGCTTTGCATAAAAATAAAATATTTTTTAGCTGCTTCGACGGTTTAAAACGTGGAATATATTAACTTATAACAATATTTTAAGTACGGTCCGACGTTTCGGATGAAGTTTTTACTTCGACGTTAGGGTGTCCCCTAACAACAATAATATATTTTTAAAACGATAGTGTTTTAGTTAAATGTGTACTACTCTTGTAAAATATAGACAATTTGTAAGCTTTAGCTGCTGCATAAAACATATATGTATAATATATAGAAATATATATAAGAATTATACCAAATAAATAACCAGGTGTTGGGATAACTATCCGGGTACGGACTAGATTGCAGGTCGTTGACTAGACCAGAAACTGGAGAAAACAAGCCTAAGATAGGACGGTTCGGAGGTTTATACTTGACCAGGTAATGGCCAATGTAGCTTATCTCATCAGTTATATACTTCATTATATTTTTTTAAATGAAATTCTAACTCATAACTGCATACAACATTTTTTATTCCATTATTATGGGCGAGAATTTGGCACAGCCTCCAAAATACTGTGCTCAAAACTTACGAACTAAGCTTAAATGTTCGGGGCTTTTTCAGTTGCCTGAAGTTCAATTAGCTTATACTGAAATTTGATTGGAACTTACCAAGTTATAAGAGGATTTACCATCCTCGTAAGTTTCAATAAACTTTTAAATATCAGTTTAAGTTGTGAACAAGTGAGGCTGCGATATATTTTAGAACGGTTCTTTCCTTCGCAAGCATATTCATAAAATATATTTTGCGTACAATTTATCGCTTAATTTCTCTAATGAGTTTCATTTAATGACGTATGTGGTCCGTGACTTAATTGTTTAAAAAATCTGCTACACTGGGATTCGAACTTAAAACTTTCTCAGTTTGACATAATTGTAAATTAAGCGCTTTTATGTGAGCCAGGAACTTAAAGAAATAATAATAAAACAGTAGTAAATAAGTATTGTTTGTAGTACAAGTACGCGAGTAGTACAATTTTTTTTTCTTTCACTTAGACTTATGAAGATAGTACACATTCAAATAGTTAAAAACGCAAAAGCTCCATCCGTCTGTAGTTCAAATATATTGTAAGTTAAGGTAAGTGAAATCCCGTTCCCCCCTCGAGGGGCATGGGGCGAACACATTCTTGTGTTCGTTTCACTGATCCGTTCTTTAACAGGCGAGTAGTTGATAAAACTTCTGTGCCCCGCCCGACCGAATTATTTTTTTTGTTTCCCTAGGATTCGAACACAAGACCTCTCTCTAATAAGTTTAACCATTTGGCTACAGAGGCGGTCATTGTACGTAATACATGTCGAGTTATAAATCATTAAAAGTATTTTATTTAATTAAGGAATAAGTTACTTGAATTTTATCAACAATATTTTGCCAAACACGAGAACCAAACCTACAGCACTGTGTGTTGCGATTCTTTAATATCTTACCTAGTTACAGATATCGCTTTAAATAGATACAAATATGAATAACTTAGAAAAGACAATATCGAAAGTTTCATTTCTACGCTATAGGAGCAACGTCGTAAGATGAACCGATGAAAATTCACTCAAGAAACAATTCCCTCCGACGACTTATCATTTCAGACCCTCGCTATCACCTAAAGGGCCATCGACACGGCACTGTGCTAACCCATCGTTTAGAAATTCGCGATTACTAAACCGATATTATCATTCTGCGATTAATGGTCAACCCTTTATCCAAAGACGAGGACGCGACCATACCAGAACGACACAACTCCATCTGACGCGCACGGCAATCTCCATCTTAATCCAACAATACAGCAAATATAATCGCTTGTATTCACATCAGCTGAAGATGCTGCAAATTGAATCTATTTTGAACTCTATCAAATTAAAAATAAGGTACGTTTTCTATTGCTTCCAGTTAATAGGCGATGTGCAAAGCTAGTTGTAAGTCCCCAGGGCACAATAGGTAGTTGTCGATGTATCTTCGCAACGAGACAATTTAAGGAATAAGCAGAATATTAAATACGTCAAGTGTATTTGTTCCTAATATAATTATAGTGATAAGGCTTCCTGTTGTTTCTTACTTTATGAAGGAGATTACGATGTAGACATGGAAATTCATAAACGGAGACTTTAGCGAAGGTAAGCGATACAATGTGATAATAAGGCATCGATGTAGGTATATCACTTCCATAATGTACGAGTTACTGAGATTCGTAAAGATTTAACATATTTATAATATTATAAGCTAAAGAGTTTGATTATTTGCGCTTATCTCAGGAATTACTAATTTAAAGGCACTATATAACTTAAAAATCGAAAATAAATTGAAAAAATGTTCGACTCGGGCAGGACTTGAACCGGCATCGTCAGCGTTCCGTGCTGTTGCTCTACCAATTGAGCTGAAGGGTGACTCAATAGCAACAGCACGGAACGCTGACGATGACGAGGTTCAAGTCCTGCCCGAGTCGAAATTTTTTTCAAATTTATTTTCGATTTTTGAGGAATGATTAAATGTGTTACGAATGTGAATGAAATTAGCTCAAGTTTTTGATGTAGGATTCATTCAAGCGCTGGTTACATGATCGGCCACAGCAAAAAGCTAACTTCTTGTGCATGCCCAAACAACTGTATGTTTATATTTAGCGCTTGAACGAATTAACTTTGAGACTTAGTTATGAGTCGGCGATAAAGTTTGTGATTTCATAAAATCGAATTTGTGAAGCTTTGATGTCCGCCGCACAAACAATAACTGAAAAATAGTATGTGGACTACATCACGTACTGGTGTGTGTAGACAACCCCATATACCGATGACCCGAGGCCCCAAGATCACCATACATTATCGTGGCACCTCGCTTCCCCCACAAAGTCCTTAATTAGACGCTCCTCGGAACATTGCATCTACATGAATATTTATCAGATGTCGGAATTATTTCGTTAAGACATCTTCTGTTGTCCTAATTGTATTTCGTTCCTCGGCACTCTCTTGAGGATCTTGTGGGCCTAGTGGTATCGAATTTCAATCAGTCCAAGCTTCAGGCCTCGCTTGAAGAACAAAGATATTTAAATAAAATATTTTTAATGGTTTAAAACTTAAAATAAATGTTTTAACTTTATTTAAGTTGCGTCGGGCCGTAGTTAAATCCAATTGTATAGAAGTTAACCAATATCGTTTAGACCGTTAAAAGTGTTTTATTAGAATGTGTGCTTCCCGCGTAAACTACAGACTGTACTTAACAAAGATGTTTCTTTTTTATGGATATGTTAGTTTAAGTATATCTTATATTAAATTCCAAAAATAAGACGGTCTAAATGGTATTTAACGGCGTGGGGTTTTCTTACATACTGCAATTAAATTGAATTTATCCTATTTAAAATAGGCTATTCGCTGGGACCGGAAAAATAAAAATTCCCGTTTCCCCCCTGGGAAATGTCAAAATTGCGCACTTACAAAGTAGCGAGTCGTAAATACGAAATATTTCACGAAAATAAAATGATACATTTCACATTTAGGAGCAACAATGTGGGCATAATTACAGGTAATAAAGCAAGTATTTGTTGTGCGCAATATCAAACAAGCCGATATCGGCGTTTTACTGCTGACGCTACGAGTTGCAGTATAGACTGTACCGTCAGCAACAATGAAAACAGTTTACTAGGCGATATTAACTATTCTGGCTCGGGCCAAATTCCCACTTTTATATTATGTTCATTTCATTTCATTTTTTTTATTATAGACGAGGACAGATGAAGGTACTTGGGGTAAACTTTATGGTAGGAGACATACCCCAGCCATATAGGTGATGGTTGTTCGTGACCCAGACGGTTTTTCGATGTTTCTACCAACCATTTAATATCTAGACGTTTCAGATTTTTTTTAATAGATTAGAATCGTGTTGGAACAGGTGGGGATCGAACGACCATACACTGCTACCATTACACCAACAAGCCTTATTTAAACTTGCTTATAAAATTTTGCAAATTATCGAAGCCAAGTCACACTAAACTACATTGTACGTTTGCTTAACTTCTTCCCTACAACTTGTCTCAATAGCAATAAGTTAGTTACTTTTAGCTACCTAAATTAAAATATTTCTTTACCGAAACGAGTACATTATAAAACATTTATAAGCGCATATATAACAACGCCCGCTTTAGAACAGGCTGTATAATCAAATAAATAATAAAAACGTAACCCTTTCAACCCACAGAGTATAAAGAATAGGCCACTCCAAGGTTGTGCCCGCGGGAGGGCAGAACGGCAAACAGTGTTATCGTGCGTCGCTGTGTCTGCACTCGGCTCGCATCTCGCACCTTGACAGTTGATCGCAATCCCTGACGCTTATCACACGCCCCATCACCGCACGAGTCATACGCGGAAGCGATTACCAAAAGAGAAGCAAGAAGAAGTAAGTTACTTATTGAACAACATCGATGAAGCTGCTTCGAATAGAAGGAATTAAAATCATCTTTAGCACTTCGGTTGTAATTCATTGACAATCTCATTTCCTAAAGAGTTTTTATTTCCATAAGACCTTACGCAAATAATCAATAAAAACATTTTATGTCAGTATAAGATTTTTATTATAAACAAGATAAAATAGAAGATATGGACTTGAACTACTTGACTAGGTCTCGAAAAAATTTCTGAAAGGAAACTGGGTACATGCATTATAATACCGGTAAATATTAAACTAAAGTTATTTAACGTGTAAATTCTTTCCTTGTGCTAATTTTGAAGGCAAGATGGCCATGTGGATATTTATCACAATTAAAAGTTATATTATTATATGTCTAGAGCTATTATTAAATACGCTTTTAGCTTATAACCTGCGCCATAAACGAGCGTCGCTGTGATATCGTTCAACGAACTTTATATGTGAAGGACGCAGAGTATATTATTTCGTAAGTGTATTATGTTTATCGCCAGCAGATGTCTGCTAGATTGTTAAATATTGACTATTTTATTATAGATCATTTTCACATTTTCTTTTCTGAGTTAAGATATTTCACAATGGGGGCCGTCTCTGTGGCTTAGTGATTCAACGCCAGATCCTGAGTTTTAATCTCGTTAATAACTTATTAAATAGTTTCGGTTAGGACAGCAAACAAAATCAAACAGAAATAAGTTTGCCTCGTGCCCCACGCTATTCATTTTAACACAAAACGCGATCCTTAGTAATCTAATATGTATGTCTATATCTTAAAATCATAGCAGCACAATGTTTGTACATTACCCCTGAAACGTATGAACGATGTTTATGTAATCTCTTGTTTATAGCTACCAAATAAAGGCGTACAACACAAAAGAATTCCGCGACGAAAGCTCGCTCGACTTCAATAAGCTTTGCTTTAATTCCATAAAAGGATATTTCAATAAAAGAATAATCCGCTATCTCGCTTCAATTGAATAGAAAAAGACAAAGATGGCTTATTAGAGTGCTCATAACTCCGCCGAGTGAGGTCCGAGCGCGTATTTCTCGAAACAATAATAAAAATAATAAATCCCCCTCAAAGCCGTCTGACAGCCGCGAAACTATTCCTCGGAAGACTCGGGTGCATATGTTGAGAGAAATTTTAAAATCATATTAATTTATTCTAAAACAGTGACGGTAGTTGGAGAAATTCGCACAGGGTCTAAAGCTCTTCTTTCTTTATTATTTGTTTGTTTTGAACTCATTTTAACTACATGTTTTAAACATTGCGCCCACTTATAATTGCCTATGTCTGCCTTTTCCTATCATATTAATAATCCATAGTATGATTTTATTATACATAGTAAGTTTCTCACGGTACTATTTGGCACTATGAATTTGCCGAATTGTTTCTTTCCAATATTATTATCAAAATCCTTGTGTCTTATTTGAAATATATTTGTGGTCACTCTACCGAACTCCCGTCAACCCGAACGTACGGAATCCAAACGGAAGGCGAGAAAATTTCGTTATACATGCGAAAATGGAAAATTTTCTTTTCGAAAGTCTTGTGCAGTATACTAAGTTACAGTTGTGAAATTTATGATTTACAAAAAGAATAATGTTTTGTGAAACTGTTCCTACTGATCAAGGACTACACTAGTCAAAATCTGGTATTTAAGTTGAAAATGTCTCTTACTCTCTTACTTACTTACTTTAATAATTTTTAAATAGAGCAAATCTACCGCATTTTTATCTTAATGCCCTGTCACAAACATGTTTAAGACGCAACGAACTCCCCAGTTACAGACGGAACAAGCTTAACAATTGTTTGGAGCTACTGTTAATGCAATAAACTGTGGCGAAGCGCCAAACGTGATCGTGAACAATTGGCGCTTTTTGCTTTACGACAGAGCTATTGACTAGGCTAAGCACTGAATTGTGTGAAATCTGAATGGAATTGTAATATTTTGCGAGACCTTCGCTATACTTTGAAAATTTTATTCTCTTTTCAACATCGTGCAAGCGACAGGAACACTCTTCGACAATCATTTATTTGTCGTGTATTTGTTCGTACACAATGCACTGGACTGATTTATTTAGAAATCAGTCCAGTGCATTGTGGGGAAAAGGGAAATAAATACCTACCTATAGACATAATATTTAATTTAGTAGGTGATCTTAAGTGGCTTATAGCTAATTACGGTAGCTCAAATGGTTAGAGCAGCAGCACGTAACGCTATAGATGCCAGTTCAAACCCCGGCCGAGTCGTCAAAAATGCTCAATCTTAATATAAGCTTAGATTAAAAATTGTAATAGTCGACTATGTTTTGAATATCTTTACTTGCTGACAAAATAACGGACCGGGACGTAATGCGTTTTACGCATTACGTTCCGGTTGAACAATTCACTTCGCGTTGGAACTTTTTGACATTTTCCAACAGATAAGATATTTTAAATCGCCTCTTAATCATAAAAAGACACTGGGAACGACGGACTTTAGAATTACACAGGCCGCTACCATCAACTTCAGTAAGTTTATATTGTAGGCTGATTACACACTTAACGATTTTTATTTATTCCTACTTTAAAATACTTACAACACAAAAATTTCGCATTGTAATTTGTGCACTAACAAAATTGCGTGTCCAATTTTGGAAGGGAGAGGGGGGGGGGGGTCAGCCCAGGGCACTGAGTCCCCCTTATCTATACGCCCAAACAGTAAGTAGGAATATTTTTTTGATATCAGCACCAATCCTCAATTGATAAAAAGCAGACGTAACGATGTCTATATAGAAAGAGAAAAAAAAGAAAGAAAGAAATTTACAAACTACTAAGGCACACAAAAACATAAACCTACACTTATTACTAAAACATAAAAAAACAAAACATAATTTTATCTTAACAGTATAAGAGAATGTTGTGTGCTGCTAGTAGAATAGGATCTTATAGACATCCTATAGATATAGGAATATAAACATTTTTTATTACAAATTTTACCAGTTATTTCGGTGTTCGTGAATGGTCCGCCTATAATTTCAAAGGCTAAGTTGAGTTTGAATTTTAATAAAGTCGTTTCAAAGTTAAGAGAGATCGGCCGAAGCATCTGAACTCTCAATTGTATTAACTTTCGCTAAATTGCTACGCGCTGTTTATTTATTTTGTACTAATCGATGTCTGCAACTCGACTGACGCACACTATGTATTAAGTTTGGAGTATTTGAATCTATATATGTATCAGATTCACTTTACCTACTGTTAGGTTAGCTAAAGCCAGTGTAAAGGTGAGGGACGACGAGATAGAATTGGTCAATGAAACTGTCTTTCTGGGTATAACGTTAGACTCCAAATCACAATGGGGATCTCATATCAGGAAAGCCTCGAGCAAACTCAGTTATGCAGCCTATGCGGTAAAAAAAGATCAAACAATTAACAGACATTAAAACAGCGCGTCTAGTCTACTTCAGCTACTTCCACAGTGTTATGACATATGGAATACTACAGTGGGGTGACGCTGCCGACATTGAAGGTATCTTTGTGTTGCAAAAAAGGGCGGTCCGGGCTATCTATGGTATGAGATCTCGGGAGTCATTAAGAGACACCTTCAAAAATATCGGCACACTTACTGTGTACTCGCAGTATATTTATGAAAATGTATTGAATGCCCATAAGAATAAAAGCAAGTTTAGCAAGAATAGTGATAGGCATCATTTGAACTTACGAAATAAGTATAAACTAGCTATCCCCAAATATAAGCTCCATAAAATATCTAATTCAGTTGCGGAGAATTGTATTGGTATGTACAATACATTGAAAGCTGAGGTGTCAAATTTATCGATAAATAAATTTAAAAAAGTTATAAAATTTAGATTGTCTCAAAAGGCGTATTATTGTCTAAACGATTTCTTTAATGACAAGACCGCCTGGCAGTAATATGAATTGCTCCCTAAGTTAATAAACTCACAATGTATTAGTTTATAAGGCAAGTTTTAAAAAGTCGGACTGAGTTTCTTGGGTATTCTTCTCAGTTATGTTGCTCTTTTGAACACTCTGTAGAATCTAGACAAATAAACAGACAAACAAAAAAAATTTTGACGAATCTAAATAATTTTTATAATTTTAACGAGAATAAAGTATATTTTATCTTATTTTATATTTAGGAAATTTTCTTTTAAAATTATGTATCCTTATGACAAAGTATGGACAAATACAAGAAACAAATTCTATTTCTCTCAGTCATATTTTATAACTGTTTGCCCCAAGATTTAGAATATCTGTAATTTTGTATTGTTTGTAGTTTTTTGGAGCAGTATACATTTAAATAAAACAGTTTTTACGGAAACGCGAAATACATTACTTATCTTGTTTTTAATGAACTTCATTTAAGGCCCGACTTTTCAAAAGTTTTACTGCACCCGTGGTCACAAATTTTGTAAAACGCATTTCTGTAGTAATTTATTTCGATAATAATATAAATTCTACACAAAAAGTTAGTGCCGTACGGTTCATATGAAAAACTCCCGAGAAAGCCAGAGCTCGTCGAAGTGGCGAGGATAAAAGGAATCCAATAGCGTCTAGTTTTAATTAACTAAAACACGTCCAAAATGTCCACGTAAAATGAGTCGCAAGAAATATTCTGAATTGTTCGCTAAAAGTTTTGCTCTCGTGAAAAAATTCCCGCTGCGCCGTTATTTTAGGCATTTTCAATTATGCACGTTGCTTTTTTTCCAAACTATGCGGGTAGTTTTATTTTGAAACCTTGTTAATGGCTCTGCTCGAATAACAACTGAAATAAGCCCGCTCGGCTCTGTTTCGAATTTATCTCTGCTTTTAACCGATTGCACAAATGGAGATAAACAGCTGGTTTGGATTTTGGACCACTTGATATTTAGGTATTTTTAATAATAAGACACGGGTTCTTGGCTCTTTCGGTCGGTGGGTCCAATACACGCTGTTGCAGTTTGATCTGTAAACAAAAGTATTTGGCAAACTGCATCCAAGTGTTATGAATGAACGGGGGTCAGGTTCGATCCGCACCGGACAAACAAGGTACTTATCAATTTATCATTCAGTATTCTATTCGTTAAAAA